AGAGCTCTCTAATTTAATTGTTACTAGTAAGAATGCAATTGCAGAGCTCTCTAATTCAATTACAGAGCTCTCTAATTTAATTGTTACTAGTAAGAACTGAATTAGAGAGCTCTCTAATTGTAATCCTTACTAGTAAGAATTTAATTATAGCGCTCTCTAATTAATTGTTACTAGTAAGAATGCAATTGCAGAGCTCTCTAATTCAATTACAGAGCTCTCTAATTTAATTGTTACTAGTAAGAATTGTATTAGAGAGCTCTCTAACTGTAATTCTTACTAGTAAGAATGTAGCTGTAGAGCTGTGGAATTGCATTCTTACTAGTAAAAATGTAATTGTAGAGCTCTACAATAACGATTCTTACTAGTAAGAATTGCATTGTAGAGCTCTCTTTTCAGCGCGACCTCATATGATAATTGTGCTTCATGCATATTCATAAAACGGCCCTGATTTTGTTTTAAATAAATGTTTTTAGTCGTCATTGATTATTCTTTCTTGTTTTTGTAAAAAAAAAAAAACGTTGACATTACTAAATATAATTAGTTATTTGAAGTATTCAGACGAAATATTGAATCCAGTGATTATGTTAACTAGAGATAGCTTAATGTGTTAAGTTTCTGTAAGGGGGAGGTGCCCTGTTCGAACACGTTTGAGCAGTGAGCGCCAGATCTTTGAAGATTCCGGTTGATGATGCACGCGATGGAGTTGGAAAGCAGAATGTAATGGTGAGTGTGTTAACTTCTATATCTTTATCTTTCTGGGAAAATTGATTATCCAAAAGACCGGTCCGATGACAGCGTTACTGTAGTTAAAGCTAAAGTAGTCTTAATGTGCCGATAGACGGTTTTCCCCTGTCGGTTTGCAGTTTAGCTATACTGCTATTTAAATCTGAGTTTCTTTTGGTTCACAGTTAAGATAAATTCAGCAAGTGTGTTTTTGCATGTTAATTTTAGCTGTAACGTTAGCATTTCATTACCCTTAGCTAAAGTCGTTTAACATCAGCATGTGCGCATCAATTAGCTTTTTGTTAAAGCTAAGTTAGCTTGTCTCTTTGATATATTATCGTGTCTATTATTATTTATAATAACTGCAACTGAGTTGTTTAAAGTATTTTCAAGACTATAGGCTACTCTTTTTCTTTTTTGTGATATGGACCTAAGGGTCTGAAATAAAGAAATAACAATATTAATAATAATATAAAGGTGTGAATTAATGAAGTGATTAAATATTAAAACAAAACTGTCATCTCACTCTTATGGTCATTCTGACACAATGACAATGCTATCAATTCATGCTTATGGGGCTTTTATTTTGAAGTGTATCACCACAGGCGGGAATTGGAAAGGGAAATGGGTGTAGTCGCAAATCTGTTTTGCATCTAATGAATACAAGTTTTTACTAGTAAGAATACAATTATAGAGCTCTGTAACTAGATTTCTTACTAGTAAGAATTTAATTAGAGAGCTCTGTAATTACACTTTTACTAGTAAGAACTGAATTAGAGAGCTCTCTAATTGGTATTGTTACTAGTAAGAATTTAATTGTAGAGCTCTCTAATTTAATTCTTACTAGTAACAATGCAATTGCAGAGCTCTCTAATTCAATTGTTACTAGTAAAAATGGCATTAAAGAGCTCTGTAATTGTAATTCTTACTAGTAAGAATTTAATTGTAGAGCTCTAATTTAATTCTTACTAGTAACAATGCAACTGCAGAGATCTCTAATTCAATTCGAGAGCTCTCTAATTCAATTATTACTAGTAAGAATTGAATTAGAGAGCTCTATAATCATAATTGTTACTAGTAAGAACTGAATTAGAGAGCTCTCTAATTCAGTTCTTACTAGTAAGAACGCAATTGCAGAGCTCTCTAATTAAATTAGAGAGCTCTCTTATTGTATTTATAACTAGTTAAAATAGATTTAGAGAGCTCTCTAACTGGCATTGTTACTAGTAAGAATTTAATTGTAGAGCTCTCTAATTGAATTGTTACTAGTAAAAATGCAATTACGACGAGTAACGCTGGGGATATTTTAAGCTAAAACGGCTTGCCATACAGCTTAAAGCTACAGGAGACGCTTTGTGTGTACGTGCGTGCGTGCGTGCGTGCGCGCACAGCCAGACGTGCGTCTTCTTCTTCTTCTTGTTTTATGGCGAATAACTCCTTAGGAGCATTCAGACGTGCGTCACCTCACCTCTCACTTTAAATAATCTGGAGTAATCTGAGGAAAACAAAGACTTTATGGCTTCAGATATACTGCATTTTATAAGCAAAAACGGATAAATATTGATATAGTAACTTATTTGACAGAACAAAACGTATAATTGTAGCCTATAGGTAATCACGACCGTTCCAATATTCAGTACAGTATAACAAGAAGTTTACACAGTATATTGTTTAGATGTTTTAGATTTGAATATGAAGGTTGAATATTTTTTTCTGCCGATAGAATTGTTCCAAAATGTTTTTTTTTTTTAGCATTGTTGTAGCATTTCAGCATGAATCCGCATTTTTCAAGTGTGATTCAGCTACAAGTTCCTGGATCCCGGAGACACACCGGATCAGCAATTTCAGGGCTATCTCACCAAGTTGACCTTTGAACTTAGGGGACCTTTCATCGTTGAACCTTGACCTCAAATGCCACATGAATGGAGATACAATATCCGCCCTTCATTCCTTCACCATCTCGAGCTGGTGACCTGTGCTCCAAAGCTTTTCACAGAACCATGGTTCACAGAACGCCAACCTTTGACCTCAGAACAGAGACGCATGTGTGTTTAAGTATGTTTTTTTGTTCAGTCATTCTGTACATTGGCCTCCATCCTCAACATATTCTTTATGGACTATGTCATCTGCAATTCAGCCTGTTGATAATCATCTTTACAGCATCACAGGTATTTTACAGATTTTGGAGATTCTGGGAACATGTACTGGCAGGTTTTGCATTCAGTGTAAACATATATTTATTAGGTCTAACAATCAATGTTTTCATCTGTTATTTACATGAATACAAAACCTGTTCAAACATGAAACCCACAGGAAAGAAAAGTCACAAATGAGATTACTTTAGCTCAATTATTTCTCGCTAACAGCAAAGAGAAGGAATGGAGAGTTTTGCTTAAATTGTCCTGAGAAGAAAAGAAAACAGCAACCTCAAAATGTTGCCACTAGAATTTCAGAAGAGATTTTGCCTCAAAACACAAAAATATTAAGCAGCACAACTGTTTTCAATATTGATAATAATAATAAATATTTCGGAGCACCAAATCAGCATATTAGAATGATTTCTGATGGATCATGTGACACTTAAGACTGGAGTACTGATGCTCAAAATTCAGGTTTACCATCACAGAAATACATTTTATTTTAAGATATATTAAAAATGAAAATAGTTATTTTAATTTTTAATAATATTTCACAATATTACTGTTTTTACTATTTTTTTTTATCAAATAAATTCAGCCTTAGTGAGCATACTGTAAAAGTGTTTTTTTTTTTTAACTAATTATTCCAAACATTTGACTGCTATGCCTCCTCAAACCCTTTCAAAACCAAAGTATGTGTAGATTTATACTCTTTTTAAATTATTATTCAAATGACTGTCACAAACAAGTGGGGCAGACTGAATGAAGTATAATCTAGTCTTACCATACAAAATGACTTCTGTCATTGAATTGGGGATTTGAAACTCTTGCAGGTTTATTCTCTGGTTCCACAGGTCCAGCAGGTCGCCCAGGGCATTTGAACTCAAGACGCCTGACTGTCTCAAGGGGAAGAGACCACTGTGTCAGAGAACATTAACTTTTGGCCTCTGGCCCCATTCATGCATTAACCTCTGTGTATTTGGTGGCCAAAGAAGAAGAGAGACCAGCACGAGCAAAAGATATGACATGAGATGAGACGACATAGGAAAATAA